AATTTCCTGAAATAACTTGGCGTCATCGGCAAACATTTGTATGGAGGAGTGTACAACGTCAGGCATATCATTTATGAAACAAACAAACAACAGCGGGCCCAATACACTACCCTGCGGTACCCCACTTGTTACAGGTACAGATGACGATTTCGTGCCATTAATCACCACACATTGCTTGCGGTCATGTAGAAAGTCTTCTATCCACGCTAGGACATTTCCCCGAATTCCGTACCCTTCCAGTTTGATTTTCAGCCTTTCGTGGGGTACACTGTCGAAAGCCTTGGCAAAATCTAGGTAAATATTGTCGATATTACCACCCCGTTCTAGAATATGGGTCCAAATATCCAATACCTTGAGCAATTGTGTCAAGCAAGAGCGCCCCGGCATAAAACCGTGTTGGCAATCTTTTACAAGGTTGTTTCGTAGTAGATGTTCCATCGCTGCATCTCTGATAATACTCTCAAGTACTTTACATATTATGCTGGTCAGGCTCACCGGTCTATAGTTGTTCGTGGAGTGCCTATCGCCCTTCTTGAAGATAGGACTCACATAAGCCACTTTCCATTCACTGGGGACCATTTGTTCATCCAGGCATTTACAAAACAGAATCTTCAGGGGCTCTGCAAGCTCGTTGCACAGCTCCCTTAGCACTCTAGGATGCACCATGTCAGGTCCAGGACTCTTATGGACCTTTAGCCTGGACAGTTTATTTCTAATACCCTCTTCTGTGAACACAATGTGGGTCAGTGCTGTGTCGAACCGTCTGTCCTCAAACGCAGGAAGGTTAGTTGCATCCTCTCTTGTGAACACTGAGGAAAAGAAGCTGTTCAATGCCTCAGCTTTATCCTGGTCAGAATCTGCGTAACTACCATCTTCAAGCCTCAGGTCTGATACTCCTACTCGCGTTTTCAATTTCGACTTTGCATAGCGGTAAAACGCCTTTGGGTTTGACTTGACCTCGCGTGCAACCAGCCTTTGGAACTCCTTTTCAGCCCTCCTACACTCTATCTTTGCTTGGTTTCTGGCTCTTGCATACATCCTCCTGTCTTGCTCATCGTTTGACCCAACCCACGTCTTGAATTTCTGGGTTTTCTTCTTAATTTTGTCGACCGCCGCATGGTTCATGTGTAGGGATCCCCTCGTATTCCTAGAAGCACTGGGTTTGGTCTTGGGTATATATTTATCGATCAAATGGGTCATTTTACTAGTTATGATATTCAGCGTAGTGTCTGCATTCTTGTACCTTAATAAGTCAGGCCAGTTGATACCCCTCATCTCTTCCCTCATCCCATTGTAATTTCCCTTGTAATATTTGCACCTTGGCCTGGCCTTATCTTGAACTAGGTAACAGTTAAATCTGAATGACAACACTGTATGGTGACTGGTGCCAACTGGGGCAAGGTGTTCCAGTTTGGCCACCATACCCTCCTCGTTTGTTATGATGAGGTCAAGTGGCTTGGGTGTTTGCTCCCCTCTGTAATGTGTCGGGTCTCTCACATGTTGGAACAGAAAATTATCTCTCAGAGTTTCTACAAAAAGAGTAGCAGGATTATTCAAGTCATTCGGGGTTGACTCGTTTCTCCAGTCGATGTCGCCATAGTTAAAGTCCCCCATGATAAGGAGGTGGCTGGGGTTGAGCATCGCCGCATTGTTTATTAAGGTTCTTAAGTTCCTTTGATTTAGTGGGCCACAGTTCGGGGATCTGTAGATACACCCGACGATAAGTAAGTCCCCTCCCTTTAATTTAATTTTACACCACTTGGACTCTTCAAAAACATCCTCTCCCTGTACCCTCGCCTGGCTGGCTCTAAGGTCTTGCCTAGCGTAGATAACCACACCCCTCCTGCAGGATTCTTGAGTTAGGTTCGTAAATGAGTCATATCCAGCAATACTGAACTCACATTCCTCTGGGTCGATTCTCCTGTTCTTGTACAACAGTTCTACAACTCCTACAATATCTGGTTGGTGTACTCTTAGTAGTGTTTCAAACTCCTCCCTCTTATCAAGGAACGTGTCAGTATTAGTGTACATGACATTCAAGCCAGAATTTGTTCTCGGTAACGTCTCTGCTCTTAGTAATAAACCCGCTCCACCCACATTCTCAGAAGCTGCAGCATTTGCTAAGTACACTGTATTTTGCAGGGTGTGGTTAAAAATGTCATTGTTTACACGGCGCTCGTTCCCTCCTGTCCAGTAGGCTGAGCTGGTGCCGCCTCCCGGGTGGGGGGTTGAGTGGGTGGAGGGTGCACTGCTGCCCCCTGGCCCTGTGTCGGCACACTTGTTTCCACTACCCTCCCCCTGAGTATAACCCATGTGCACCTGTCCCCGTTCCTCCTCGACTCCTCCCTCTTCTGCTTCAAGTCCAGCAGGAGTTTCTTGTGCTGTTCCCTCTGCATTACCGTGCGGTCTGGGTGAATAAATACATCCCGAAATGCCTCGCTCCTTGCTAAGTTTTTTGCCTGCCGGATAACTTGCCATTTCTCCTCCTCACTCCCTAGTGTGATCCTGAGGGGGCGAGGCTTAGCCCCCTGCTTTTGTCCCAGTCTCCTCACATCCTGAGGGGTTGCTGGAATCTTCAGAACCTCTGTGCAAATATTTTGAAACAGCACCTTGTCGTGTGTTTCCTTACTCACAGTTCCCTCTGCCTGGCTCTCTGGGACTCCAAAAACTATTACATTGTTCCTGCGCTGGAGCCGTTCCTGGTGTTCCTCCTCTCCCCTAACAGTCGGTGCGTTAATTTTCATTTCTTCGACACACTTTTTCAGAGTCCCAATCTGCTGTAGAACCTGTACTGATTCTGCATTGAACACCCTTAGTAAAACGAGCATTAAAATGTTACAAACAATACAAAATATAGCCCTCAGACTTATTTAAACATAAAATATACAGACCACGTCAATAATGAACAGCTACACAAGAGAGCAAACCTCTTAGCAATCAATGTAGAAATACACAACAAAGCCGCAAATATTTGGAACAAAGTGACTGAACTCAACACAGAAACTTACCGAAACTGGATAAATAATATAAATAACGAAGAATTTCATGGACACTGTTGGTTTAAATCAGCCAGAAAGAAAGTAATTGAACCTCTCCTGCCCAAATATAAACATCAAACATTAATAGAGAGAATAAAAGATGACAGTGACCTACCAGCTTAACTAAAAACCTGGCAGGCCTCTCCATGCAGTGTACCTTTAGACTAAATTAACTAACATTTAACTAACATTTACTACGAAACAACCTTGTAAAAGATTGCCAACACGGTTTTATGCCGGGGCGCTCCTGCTTAACACAATTGCTCAAGGTATTGGATATTTGGACCCATATTCTGGAACGGGGTGGTAATATCGACAATATTTACCTAGATTTTGCCAAGGCTTTCGACAGTGTACCCCATGAAAGGATGAAAATCAAACTGGAAGGGTACGGAATTCGGGGAAATGTCCTAGCATGGATAGAAGACTTTCTACATGACCGCAAGCAGTGTGTGGTGATTAATGGCACGAAACGTCATCTGTACCTGTCACAAGTGGGGTACCACAGGGCAGTGTATTGGGCCCGCTGTTGTTTGTTTGTTTCATAAATGACATGCCTGACGTTGTACACTCCTTCATACACATGTTTGCCGATGACGCCAAGTTATTTCGGGAAATTAAGAACCAAGCGGACTGTGAAGAACTGCAGAAGGACCTCTGTGGGCTTCAGGAATGTTCGAAGAAATGGCTGCTGAGATTCAATGTCACGAAGTGTAAGAGGATGCACCTGGGGCGTACCAACGGTAAGGAGGCGTATCATATGTCCCAACGGGATGAAGAAACTGCACTAGTTGAGACTGTGTGTGAGAAGGACCTAGGTGTGTATGTTGACAATGAGCTGAAGTTCTCGGGCCATTGCGAGAAGAAGGTAAATCATGCAAATAAATTATTGGGTCTTATAAGAAGGTCGTTCAGATATCTAGACGGTCCGTCCCTCGTAACGTTCTTCAGGAGTGAAGTGCTTCCCCATCTGGAGTACTGTCACCCCATCTGGTCTCCGAGATATGCTAGGGGACTGTCAGTTGGTTGAAAATGTTCAAAGGAGGGCCACCAGACTGGTGCCTGCACTTCGGCACCTCAGTTACCCTGTACCCTGAGAGATTAGAGAGCCTGGACTTGCCTAGCTTATACTACAGACGGGCAAGGGGGTACCTAGTTGAGGTGTAAAAAGCATCTCAGGGGGCACTACTCAGTTGAGTGTCCTTACTTGGAGCTAGCGGACGCTCGTCCCACAAGGGGTCACAGCTCAAGATTGAAGAAGCCGCAAGTCCAGAAAACCGTGAGGGCAAACTTTTTCGGAGTGTGGGTTGTAAACTTTTGGAACAATCTACCAGAGAGTGTTGTGACGGCACCGAGTGTGAGCTCTTTCAAGACAAGATTTGACCAACACTGGAGCGGGTTCAGGTACATTCAGGAGCCGGTGCATGCCCAGTATTTGCCAACAGTGTGTGACAGAGACGTGACCGATCGCCCGGGCGGCTAGCGAGCATATCTTTTGGTGAAGATAAACGAAAAGGAAAAGTAATTAGAGACGTGACCGATCGCCCAAGCGGCTAACAAGCCGATCAGTGGCGAAGAGGATAAAAGTAAAAGATAAAATGGCAGAATAAAATATGTGAATGTGGACAGAGGCTCTGGGAAAAAACAGCTTTCATCCCTGATTACTCTGTTTTACCGAAGAATATAAGTTACAAAATTACAAAAAGACATGGTACTGTACTACAGTAACTCATTGCAGTAGGCTATTGTTTATTGTAGTAGGCCCATAAGAGAAACACAATTCAACTTACGCTTTATTCTAAAAGAATTAAAGGATCTTGCAACAAAAACAAATGAAACAAATATTAACATAAACAGATAAATAGATATAAAAAAATGAAACAAAACATGTACAATAACAGGTACAAGAAAAAATTATAAACCAGTCATATAATTTTTTTAAATTTGGCGCGGGTAGTTGAGTCTGTTGCCGTCGTTGGCGCCACCGTCCGCTCAGCCTCTTCACTCGCGTGGTGGCTAACAGTTGGTGAGTCTTTACGTTCCTCCAGTTTTTTAATGCTTTTTATCTAATTTTTGCATTCGTTTACTTCACGGTAGGGTTTGTCAAGTTGCTAAAAGAGTCAAGCGGAAGATAATTATGTCGGTGAATTTAGGATGTAATAGTGCAAAGTGTGACTATTCTTTTATAAACAATGTAGCTTGAGAACACATGGTGTGGTCGGTGTGTTGTGGCTTCCAAGCCTTTTATCATAACCACGTTGTCTTGGACGTTAAATTATGGGCATATTTTTACTTTTGGACACGAGTCCCTAGGTGGTTGACCAATATGTTTTTCCAGTCTATTTTGGTGTGTTAAACGAATCTGATCAACAATTTGGGCGGAAAATTGCTTGTTTTACACCCCCCCCGCCAACGATAATGGGAAGTCGGGGTTTTGGGTGGTACAGTCGTAACGCATAAATCATTTGTATGTCAAGGGTTCGAGCCTCGGCCGGGACACACGTGAGAAGGGTGTTATGGAGTGTGACCCTACCAGACATCACAGGTTTCCCGGTCCCCGGTTTCCCCCGGTCCGACTAATTACCCAAATGTAGCCGCAATGAAGTCAAATAATGGTCCTACATGGATAAATCGGGATGTGAATCACTTCTCGATTATTATTTAGTATCATAAAGTCACAAAAAATTAGTAAACTTAATTTAATCTGAATTAATAGATCAAGTGCATGTACCCGAGGAGCGAAGAATTACCCATATGTAGCCAAATGTAGCCGCAATGAAGTCAAATAATGGTCCTACATGGATAAATCGGGATGTGAATCACTTCTCGATTATTATTTAGTATCATAAAGTCACAAAAAATTAGTAAACTTAATTTAATCTGAGTTGTGTTAGGTTAGGTTAGGTACATGCACTCGATCTATTAACTCAGATTAAATTAAGTTTACCAAATTTTTGTGACTTCCTGACACCAAATACTAGTCGAGAAGTGATTGGCAGTCCGATTTATCCATGTAGGACCATTATTTGACTTCATTGCGGCTACATTTGGGTAAGTAGTCGGACCCCGGTTTCCCCCCTGTGCTACTATAAGAAAATAAGGAGTCTGCAATAGGCCGGTTTGCCTGTGCATGGCAGCTCCTGTAGAGAGTTATTACCACTCTCTTATCATCCATGAATCTATCTAGCCTCCTTTTAAAACTTTCCAACGTTCCAACACTTACTACAACGTTGCTAAGCCTGTTCCACTCGTCCACCACCCTATTCGTGAACCAGTTCCTTCCTATCTCCCTCCTAAACCTAAACTTAGCCAACTTAAATCCGTTGCTACGAGTCCTATCCTTCTCGGATATTATAAGCACTTTATCTATATCTCCTTTATTGATTCCTTTCACCCACTTAAATACTTTTATCATATCTCCCATCACTCTTAAGTCTTTCTAGGGAATGCAAGTCTAGTTTCTTTAATTTATCTTCATATGGAAGGTTTCTAAGTCCCGGAATCATTTTCGTCATTCTTCGCTGCACCGACTCCAGTGAATTGATATCCATTCTATAATAAGGGCACCAGAACTGAACCGCAAAATCGAGGTGCGGCCTGACTAGCACGAGATATAGTTGCAATAAGACCTCTGCACTCTTATTACTTACACTTCAAACATTAACGCACCATTTTCTAAGGCCATACAGTAGGTCCTGGCTTACAAGTACCCCTAAGTCTCTTTCACAAGTCGACTTCTCTAGGTTAATGTTGTTAAGGCTGTATACATTGACAGTATTTGTTCTTCCAATATTAAGTACGCTGCACTTGCTGGTGTTGAATTTCACTTGCCATTTTTTCTGACCACTCCTGCAGTTTATATATATCCTCCTGTAGTGCATTTGCATCCTGCCATGAATTAACCTGCCGCCCTTTTTTGGTGTCATCCGCAAACTTGCTTATGTCACTGCTGATCCCAGTATGTAGATCATTTATGTAGATTATGAACAAGAGTGGCCCCAGTACTGACCCCTGGGGAACCCTACTGGTTACACAGCACCACTCAGATTTAACACCATCTACGCTGACCCTTTGTGTTCTATCGGTGAGCTGATAAGTGGCAAATAAGATCCAAAAAATAATCTAACCCCTAGCCTGGGGCTCTGCCCCCAGACCTCCAGGAGGGGTGCTGGACACCTCGTACCCAGTAAATCGGGTTTAGGGTCATCTCGTACTCAAGACAACTCGTACCCAACTCGCGAGATAAGTCGTACCCAAGATTGCTTAAACCCAATTCAAGAGATAACCATCCCTATTAGTATATATACCATACATTTTAGCTTTATCTATGATTAAAAAAAAATTATGTAAATCTTGTAGGAAAGTGCAGTGAAATAAGGAAATGCAATTTGCAGGCTTTAAAATGGTTGCATCTCATTACATAAATATATTATTCAATCACACAAACATTGCACTACAAGTACATATTTCACACTATGTTGTTTAGAATAACTTTATTGCAATTTAAAGATTTCAGACTAATAGATTTGGCTGTTTCAATTTATAAACTGGGCGATGTAAACATTTAAAATGGTCATACATAAGAAGAAAATATGGAGTCTGCAATAGGCCGGTTGGCCTGTTCAGAAGTCAACAAAAGATAGACATGCATAAAAACGGGGTCTGCCCATATCGGCACCACTATTTTTAAGCCGTTTCGTAACCACTGCTTTACCCGTTTCGTCACTGTGTTTATTCCCATCAATATATACACGAAAATATCTGTTGCTTGGGATAGAAAATAGTAAAAAACACTAAGAAAATTTATTAAAGACGTAAATAAATAAAAACATTGTTAACACGCCTGCAATCATCTCACTGCTCGGTGCTTTATGCGCTGGTGCCAGATCACCTTCATTTGTTCTGTATTTTGTTTATTTACCAATGTTTTAATCGTTTTCTTTATTAATTAATTAATATTCATGTATAATAATAATAATTCTTCTCAAGTCGTCTGTATACATGTGCAATTTCTATTCGTGTAAAATAATAACTTATAATTTGTCATTAATACCAGCGACTTAGTGGTGACGAAACGGATTTGATATTGGTAACGAAATGGGGTTTTGGTGACGAACCGGGTCGGTGACGAACCGGGTCGGTGACAAAGTGGATTGGTGACAATATGAGGTGTATCCATAAAAACATTGATTTCCCAGCTCCAGCATTTTGTAAACAAATCAGTTAGTGCACAGTGTATAATTCGGGGCTCCTCTCTGCAAGAGTCTCTGGTACTTCTTCCGGTAAAACAAACCTGTTCTATGGAGTGGCTGGCATCGTCAGGAATATCTTCTTCTGACTTGTCAATGTCAAGAATGAAATACAGTATTTGTAAGGATATAAAGGAACGGGGATTAGCCCACCCGGGCAAAGGGCGCTAACCCACATTGGGGCCTGGGGGGCGAAAATGTAGTAATTATTCATAGTAAATATAATTTATAATAAAAAGTAAAATCAAATAATAATAATGATAATAATAATAATACTGTAATAATAATAATAATAATAATAAACTATAAAGAAATACAAAAATGAAAAAAAATCAATAGTGAGAAACGCTATACTGTATATCAATGTTGTGTTGTCAAGAGAAACAATTGAGACCCTGCAATTGTTTGTAAATGAGGCAGAAAGTCAGATCAGCAATCTGGGACTCAATTTTCTTGATGGCATATAGCAGCAGGGTTTACCATTAGACAACACATTATGCTTCCAATATCTTCCCAGGTGATCCCTATTTGGTAGCTGCATACTACCTCAGCTGATTTGTTTACAAAAAGCTGGAGCTGGAAAATCAATCTTTTTATGCATGTCTATATTTTGTTGACTTCTGACAACTTTAAACGTTTACATTAGCCTGTAAATCTGTAAATTGCAATAAAGTTATTCTAAACCACATTGTGAAATATGTACTTGTAGTGCAATGTTTGTGATGGAATAACATATTTATGTAATGAGATGCAACCATTTTAAAGCCTGCATTGCATTTCCTTATTTCACTGCACTTTCCTACAAAATTTACATATTTTTTTGTAATCATAGATAAAGCTAAAATGTATGGTATATATACTGATAGAGATGGTTATCTCTTGAATTGGGTGTAAGTAATCTTGGGTACGACTTATCACGTGAGTTGGGTACGAGATGACCCTAACACACACACACACACACACACCCGGCCTGGCTTAAACTAACCTAACATAGATGTTTTAAGTAGTTTATGACTTTTGGGCGCGCTATGTCCGAAAGTAAATTAAAACCTAATTATGTAGTATTAATCAATAAATCATTAGTGTTACGTATAATTATATATATATATTGGTGGTAATTATTCATAGAAAACGATTTTAAAAGTGCCGCAATTTTACTGTTTTTTATAGTGGACACTTGTAGTTTATGCAAATGTGTTAAAAAAAATTATTTCTAAAATAAATGTAACCTAACCATGGTGGGTATGAAAAACAGACCTCGCCAACCTAGTCAAACAAACCGACCTAACTTCCTTTACTCCCTGGTATATCAAACAAAGAACTTACTGAGAATTTATAATAAAGCACCGGTCTTTCTCCTTTATTATGTACAGTGGGGTATGCTATAGCGAACGGATTCTACTACGAATATTCCTATAACGAACAGTTTTACCTATAAAATTGAGAATGCTATAACGAACGAAACTCCTACAATGAACTTTTTTTTTTTTTTTTACTAATTTATTGTTTTTTTATTACAAGTATTAATGATATTCTTTATTTCAGGAGTTTAGATGCATATTTATGCATTTTTTTAAAATTTTTACAATTTTATATTAAATTTTTCAGTGTTAAGTGGTTGTATTTGGGGGCCTGGAACGGATTAATCCTATAACGAACGAATGCTATGACGAACAAGGTTCTAGAACCAATTAGATTCGTTATAGCATACCCCACTGTATTTTGTAATGTTTAGACATTTTCCAAGACATTTTTCGGTGAAATTTCAGTCAAACAC